ATTGCGACGAAACATCGCGGCACGAGACCCGAGGCCCTGGCCCGATATCGTAGATCACATCTTGGCGGTCCATCGGGGAACGCCTCACGAATCGATGGGCCTTAGCCCCTTCCAATTACGAACTAATAGCGTAGCTTGTGTCTCGATACCGAGCCTCCCCCATGAATCTTCATTAAACCGGCGACCCACAAGGGCCATGGTCCGGGACAAGGCCAAGCGACACATGGAGATGATGGAGCGCTCCCTTCCCTGATTAGCCCGAAAGCGCCAGAAAATGATTGAGTTGGCCTACAGCCAACAGGTCCGTAGCTACGAGGCCCGAAATAGGAACGCAGGACCACGGCCCCAGTATAAATTAAAGGACCTGGTGCAGGTGAGGAAATGTGCTTGCCAAGGAAAGATAGCGCCACGATTCTTCGGGCGATTTCGTGTGATCGAGCTCGGTCCGAACGGGGTAAACACCGTGCGCCTCGTGCCAGAGGTCTCGGGAAGCCGATCGGCTCGTTCGATCGTCTGCCACGTGTCCTATCTACGTCTCCTCCCTTCCTCCCCATCTCCAGCTCTGTCTACTTCCTCCTTCGCCACAGAGGAGGACGACGATTCCTTATCGCTCTCATCCCCTCCTGCTTCTCTTACTCCATCCCCATCCCCATCGCCATGAGTTTTCTCACTGAGCGAGCTCTCGATGATCACATGCTGGCGGCACATGGCGACATTTCGGCAATTCGGCAAGTTTGTCATTCGCGGCTTAGTTCAGATCTGCTACGACTCGCGCAGTTCTTCTGCACCACTGGGGTGTATGCGGCGGCGGAGTTCCATTTCACGAGCCATCGTCAAGCAATCGTGTTGGCAGAAGCGTTGGCAGTTCGACGGCTGTCAGCATCGGGAGTTAGCCACGTGTCTACCGTCGTCATCTTCAGCGGAGATATTAGCGCGATCAACCCTTTACGGCACACGGCCATCCGGACGTCGCTAAGAGAGTGGGGCCAGCAGCTGGCAACGGAGTGGAATCAGTGGCTTACGTGCCACGATGACAATCTTGTCCCCGCGGATGACATCGACGTTGGAGGGCTCCAAACGTCTCGGCATGAGCCGGCGGTGATGCTTCGTGAGCTCATTCTCTTCCAGCGTCCTCAATGAACCGGTCCCAACTATCTACTTTCGCCCTCCCCTCTCTTTTCCCTACCTTGTGGCAATCTAGCCTCTGCCCCCGTTTCTCCTTTCGTATGGAACCACTCGCTGTCCCCCTCCTCGATTGATGACAGTGGGAACAGTGGTGTGAGCACTTCATCGATCTCTCTGTGTGGCTGGTCGAGGTGCAGTTGACGTGGACGCGATACGACGAACATCGCGCCTGGATCGAATACGTGGAGCTGTTGATCATTCAAGCTTGGAGGACGGAGGTGGAAGGGGACCTTCTCGGATTTCTATCTGGATCGGTGCAGCCCGGTCATCGGCAGCTGATCGTACGGGAACTCACAATCCCCCTCTGGTCGATGATCTTTCTCTTGACATCATCTCGGAGTGTGACGAAAGTCCGGTCCCGCACATCCTTTCACGAACGCTGACGCCCTATCTGCAGTGGTCGGCTTGTCTGGAAGAGCAGGGAGAGAGCAGCAACCCGCCATCGCAAGCGGAGTACCTGAACCCACGAATGATAATCGACATCTCCTTCTTCCAGCCTTAGACGACCTTCGAAGACGAAGTACTAGGTGAAGAGGGGGCCGACGAGGAACAAGAAGAAGAAACCCAGAAGAAGGGAGTTACAGCGAGCATAGCGAGGGAGAGCAGAGCGAGGAAGAAGCAGCAGAAGAAGACGAGGAGAAAGAAGAGTCTGAGTGGGAAAGTTTGGGCGAGGAAGCAAGCCGAACAGAAGCCCAGGAGGAAGATCCCGAGGCGGCACGAAGGAGAGAAGAGATCGCAGCCGGGAAGCAGTCGCTGGAGTTCGCAAGTGATGTGAATCTGCCAATTTCGAACGACCCGACCAAAGACCCCGAGCCACCCAAGAACGACGATGGGGACCCAAGTGCTGAGACTTTGAGCGCACCAGCCAGGCGGCGGCGAGACCGATCCCCCTCCCCCTCCACCTCCACCCATCCAGCAGTTCGAGATCGTACCGATGCGGGCCATCGGGCTTCGTCCCCGATCCTTATCCCGTCGTCCCCTTGAGTATCTCTACCTCCGCCAGATCACCACCCGCATCATCCTCCCCTGCAATCCCTTTCCAACTGACACCTTTCGCTTTTCCAACGCCACCCGTCGTGCTGTCACGGTTCATCCCCATCCCTCTACCCGGTGTGCCACCCCTGTCTTCTGTCTCCACGTCCTTTTTTTCACTGCTGTGTGCAGAGGCCACAACATTACTATCCCCGCATGCGAAAACCACGATCACTTTCGCACGACACTCTTCCGAACCTTCACCACCCTCTACCCCGACTATCTCGCATCCCTTCCTCATAGTGGTACCCGATTCCCTCGCTTTCATCGGATCATCCGATATCAGGAGCTTCCGGTGACAGTGGCGGGCATGGAGAATTTCCTACCCCCGCTCCTGATCGATCTACCCCCTCGCCATGCCCCCATGTATCGTCTTCTCTTCCCCCTCCCCGGCGGCCATTGATGCACGGTCGATTGGCGCGTGCCACGATGATGGCACGAATAATCCCCTCCTTGGATTGAAGAGAGCCCTTCCTGAGGAAATTGTAGGAGAAAGCCATGTTTGCTACACTGGATGACTTCCATACTCTTTCGCACGGTAAGTGGCAATGTAGAAAGCTTCGCGTGTCAATCAATTAGAGAGATCGACATGTGTCATGATTCAAGCAAGCGGGAGCTTGCTTAAGATTGGAACCCCCTGGCCTGGGCGTCACATATGTGACGAACCAATTTCTGTTCCGCGCGATTTTCTGCGCGATGATAATGAGGGGTCCTAAGATGGGAAGGTTGGGCCAATTACGGGAGATCGCGATCGAAGGGAAATTGCATCGAAGTCCTCGCTTCTTCGTCTTTTTCCGTTGCTTCTTTTCGGATGGCTGGGTTCAGGGACGGACAAGTCCCGGGATGGCTGATTGAGTGGTTGTCACGCCGACAAAGGCGCGATTAATTATGTTGGACGTCGCTTCCTTCTTGTGGGGCTTTAGGCGCGGAAGTTGCGCGGGGAGTTTTCCTTCCTTTTTGAATTTCTTTTTTGAATCTTGTCGGCTCTCGAAATTTGGGACTTTGGAATTTGCGTTTTATTAAAGTTTTTTTTGCATTAGCTAGGAACTTAGGAATTTAGGATTTTTCTTTTGTCGCGCGCTGCCTTGTTGCTCGCACGCTGTTTTTTGCGGCTGCAACGGAGCTCTGATTAGCCGGCGCCCTTAATCTTGCGTGTAACTGTAATTTTGGGCGGGGCACCGTTGTAACTGTATCTTTCATCTTGAGCTTCGTCTTTCCTGCCTTCTCTCCCCTTCACTGTGTCTATCTGACCCACGAGCTGCATGATCAGATCGATGCGTGGAGAGTGGCTACTACCCCCACGCCCTGGTCTGGCCATGCAGAACCGCAGTCTGGCCGTGATCGCTGAGAACGTAGGTGCTCCCCTCCCTTCTGTCTTTCTAAGTCCTTGCAATTCCATGTTCTTCGCGCATGCATGCACGCGATTAATTTCAGCTGCTCGATTAGATAACTCTCTTAACCAGTTATTGGAAGCTCGGGGTAGCGCGATCAGTGAGGGTCGGCTCACGAGCGAAGTAAGAGATGAGTTGAAGTGGGAGTCGGGCGACTCGACGAGCTGGTGCCGAATGCGCGGGCTTGACGCGTGGGGCTGCGACGGACTGTAGCCCACGGGCAAACCTGACGGGTGCAGGAGGACTAAGCGGGGTGACGACTTCGTGGGTTGGTGTGTGACGATGGACTGTCCGCATCAGAGAGAGAGAAAGAGAGGAAGAGAGAGCTGAGGCTGATGGACGTGGATTTGCAATTTTTTTTGTCTTATCTCCCCGTTTACTTTTGTAAATAAGTTTTGATCTCGGTTGAGGGCGACTCGCCCATCTTTTGTTTTCAGAATCTTTGCATTGGCTTCTGCCTACGCCTGTTTTGCAATTAATCTTGATCTCGATTATTCTGTGTTTTGTCGAATGAATAGATGAAAGGATGATATGTTTGTCGTTTTTGTCTGACCATCATCGTTGCTTGCAAATGTTGTTGCGATGTCTGATGACACCTTGCATGCTCAGAAATAATTGCTTGTGGGATCACTGAGTGATTAGATGACTGGGTAGTTGTCCGTGATACGCGGCGATTTTGCATGAGGAATGAGACTCTCACTTTTCTCGGTACAAGCGAACACCTCGCGGGGATGTGTGTAAGCTTGATCTGATCTGCGCAGCCTACACGAGATCGTCGCGCCGCTATGACAAGATGACATGGGACTCAGGATACTTCGAACCTTAGGAAAGAGAATATCTTAGGCAGAGACGCCCGGAATTTCCCTGCCTAACCGAGAACCGGTTGTGCCCCAGGGAGTTTCACTGCGCCATAACCAGCGATCTGAGGGCCCCCGATTACCCAACTACATATAACACGCAATACTTCATATCCCCCGACTTTGTCGTCGTCACTACCAATTTCCCACCCTTCCGTCTTCTCCTCCCGTATCACCAACTCACGGTGGTACTGTGGAATTCCATCGCCCCGTATTGGCCCCGCACGCCGTGTAGAAGCTGCAGACAACGCGGCAACCGCCGAAACCCCTGGAATTACGGAGCTTAACTATAACGCGCGGCGACAGACGGCACGTGTCTGCCCCCGAAGATTCGACTCATAGGAATCGCAACCCTAACGAACGGGCCTCTCCCGAACCGCCGTCACCAAACAGACGGATCGGCCAGCCCTTGATGCACCACGCATGCCATCTGCCTTATGCTGCACGACATCGACCGCCATCGGACCGGAGGTAACCCGTCCTTAGCCCTGCTGCATCGATGCCCCTGGACCCTTGCCACAGGAGATCTCAGTTCCGACCTGGGACTCCTCCCCCACTTTCCCAAAAATCCTTGGCACACCCCTTTTCGCACTTCCAGGCCCATATCTCACTCCGATCAGAAAGTCGCGCCGGGTGTGAGGTTTGGGCGTCACAGGCCACCTTGACGCAATAGCTACTGCACGGTCTGCTACCGTGATGTTCTGCACCCCATCGTTATCATAGTCCCAAACCCAGTTCGAGCATAGCCTCTCGCCACAACCCGGGGTGTTTCTACTGCCACGCTAAACCAAAGAAAGGTTCGGTCCGAAATTCACCACCACCTCTCCTTCCTGAGAGCAGCCCCGAAATTTTCTATCATGATCCCCGTCCGCGTTCGACCCTGATCGCGACCACCGGCTCGGTCATCCTTCTCGTCTACTGAAAGTTCGTACGGAGGTCAAGAACCTCAAGATCCCCCTCAAACCCCGCAATCACATGTATCCATACATCAAAATCATGAAAAAAAACCAGAAAACACATTCAAATTCCTTGTATTTTATTAAAAAGGATTTAAAGGAGTATCCGGCTGCCGCCCGACACCGGCGAGTCTCGGCAAAATAGTTGGGAAAGGTACTGGTGGTTTAAACCACCAGTACTTGGCCTAGCAATCAATGCCGAGCCGGCCGACCCCCTGCGCGCCAAGTTTGCACGAACCCCCGCGACGTCGTTTCGACTTTGTTTTTGCCGGCGCTTCCAGCCATTGAGGTCTGGTACCCCGAAGCCCTGAGGTTGTGGGCCGTTAACGACAACGGCGGGGGATGTATGGGCCAAGTACTGGTGGTTTAACACGGAGGCTGCAAGGTATTGGTGGCGGCAGTCAGAGACATCGGTTGAGCTTTTCGCAGCTATGAATACCCCTCGGCGGCGGACAGGCGTGGCCAAGTCCGCGGCCGCGGATGAGGCCGCGAGCCCGCGGACGCGTCCGCGCGGCTTTGGCGCCGCGTGCAGCCAGAGGGGAGGGGGTCTCGGGATTCGGGAGCCGTCGTTCGGCGGCGCAACCCCTGCTCCACCCCCCCACACAAAAAAAATGGAAAAAAAAACATCTTTTGGTTGGGGGGGGTGAGCAGCGAACAAGGAGAAATGAAAGAAAAAAAAAATGAACGCGTTTTTTTTTTTTTTTTTTC